TTGTTTTACTATGGTTGCAAATATCAAAAAATGTCTATATGTGACACGGCACCAGAGTTAAGTTAGGGTTTTTCAAAATGCTGACCCGCCGAGCTCACAAGGTTCGGCATCACTGGCCCAGAGGGTGCTATGCTCAGTGAATAAATAAGCAAAACAGAAACATACCCACAGATAGAGAACAAGCTGACAGCTGCAGAGAGGGGCAGAAACAAGGCGACGGGGGGAAGAAAAGTCAGGAACACTCACAGCAGTGAGCGGGAATAACTGACAGGGGCTAAGGGGAGCTTTAAAAAAAACATAACCAGGTCTTCAGCATAATTACAATGAAAGTTCCTCTTCATTGAGTATTTAACATAAGATTTTCACTCCTTATCTGTGAAATTTGCAAAAACACAAGGCCTGATGGAGGCCTGGGTGCAGGCGCTAGACAGAGCACCTGTTCTCTCCAAGTCTCAGCAGGACCTCTGCAATGCGCCTTCTCTACACGTTTTCTCTTCTCAACTTCTTTAAAAAGCTTTTCTTGCTAAAAAGGAATCCTGCGGTGATTGTGTCCTGATTCTACTGATTAGAAGCAGACGCGAGGACGCCTGGCCCACAGTCCGCCCTAGCCAGTCCCGCCAGCCCTGGGGCCTGGGGAGGGCGGCTGTGCCCAGGACAGTTCCCAGGATGACCGGCACCCACCGTCACCACTCCCGGTGAAGCCCACGCTTAGCCTGGGGGCCAGCACGGCGACCATCCAGGAAACAGACGTATTATCCAGCAGTTCTGTTTTCTCTGAACAGCTTTTAATTTTTATTTTTTATGACCAAGAAAGCTAAACTAACACCCAGAGCGTCTACAAGTTATAACGTACACTGCTTTGCATCTGTTCCACTGACTCCTTGCTGTGTCACCAGGTTCAAACTAAACAAGCAATCCCTACTCGCACATACTCACCGTGACACCACGTCCTCACACGCCTATATACTAACTAGCACAACAGAGAAAACCTTGGGGCTTATATAACTTTCAAAATTTAAACACACACACACACTCCGGAGGTTAACATGACAAGCGCTATTAATTAGGCTCAGCTGTCTTTCGTAAGCCAACTCGGGTAGAAATACAACTTGAATGGAATGTGTTCCTACTACTTCTTTCCCCCAAACACCCATTCCTCCCCCCAAACTCCATGTAACAGCAGCTGCCTCTTCCCCCATGAAGAACTGTGTCCCCACAGGAGTTCCTGCGATGGCCAAGGTGCCAGTGGTGACGTGAGGGAGGGATGCTCGAGGCGGCGGGAGTGAGGGCGCAGGTGCAGGCGACCAGCAGAGCGAGGACGGGCGGAGGGAGGCTGCAGTGCAGCGTGGAAGGAGAGGGCTGCGGCAGAGTCATGGGCCGCCAGCCCTTCGAACCCAGGTGACTGCAAGATCGTCATGACACAGTCAACCAACGGGCACTTACTGAGCGACAAGTGCCACACAGGGGAGGGGGCGGGGAGGAGGGAGAGCAACCCTCGTGGATGCTGGGCTGAGAATGCCCACCCACCCACCACGCCCTGACAACCTGAAGTAACCACGGAAGTCAGTGGCCTGCCCCGTTATCTGCCCAAGGCAGCAGCTACCATGGGCAGAGAATTCCAGAACAAAAGGGGAAAGGGCCACCAGAAGTTACCCGGAGGGTTTGCAGGGACAGGGTGAGAGGCTAGAAACCCAAAGAGGAATTTCCAAAAGCAGGAACAGCCGATTGCAGAGGGAGGGCCCCCCACAAAGGGCTTGCCTAGCAGGTGTGGCATGCACGAGCTACGCAGAGAGAGGACTGCAGGGACCAGGTGCTCAGGGCTCGCTGGTGGGCGGAGTCAGAGGCCTGGACAGGTGCTGGGCAGGTGGGAGAAGGCAGAGCCCTGCGTTACCTGGCAGGCGCCCTTGGCTCTGAGGCAGTGGAGGACTGGGGGAGGGGGGCTCATGGAGACAGAAGCGGAGCCGCTGGAGAAAAGCCTGGCTCTAGGTGGCCTCACCTGCCTCAGTGGGGGCTGCGGAGAGGGTGCCGGCGTGAGCAGCTGCCGCAGGGAGGACACAGGGGAGGAAGGAGGATGGGACTGTGAAGCAGCAGTCACGACGGTTACTGATAGCCTCCATTCCCCCGCTGACGGGACAGAAGCGCCTGCACTGACAAGGCTCCAGATCCCAGCACCCCTTTTGCACAGGGAGCCGAACCGAGATAGATGCCAGCAAGGTCCGCAGAGCTGTGCTTCGCCCTCAGTGACCAGCACCGCCC